ACGGGGGAGAATTCGGGTGTAGCGTGACCGGCGATGTGGTCGACATCTTGGAGCGAGCCCCAATCTTTCCCCCCCCCCCCCCCCCCCCTCCCGCAAAACTGAACAACCAAACGAGAGAGCGGCGCTCGTGAACAAACCATAAAATGCGCCCGCGTGCACGACGGCGCAAATGGAACAGTGAGTCTGTCCACGCTATTTTCAAAACACCAAGGTTCATGGAATCGTTCACGAACCGTCGCCCCCTGTGGTTCCAGGCACCATGGATGCGGGCGGGCGGCCCAAGCGTCGCGAATGCTCGCGCCCAGACCGCGCGGAGCGGCTCGGCAGGAATGTGAAACGGGAGCTGGCCGGAGCGCCAAGTCGTGGGATCGGATGACCGTCCACGCGGCAAGCAAACAGACGAGTGTGCGCGTGCTCGAAATTACCATTGTACCGACCCGAAAGCAATGCCTTGCCGCGCACAAGCATCCTTTCCGACGCTTGCACTTCGTCCCAGATCGAGATGCCATAGTTGTCCACCCAATATTGTGCCGTTGGGAGGTTCAGCGGCGTTTCGCGGCCATGAAGCCCCAAGTCGTGAAGTTTTGAGCTCAAAGTCAATTCGCGAAACCAAACCCACCTCCCACTTGTCAATTTCCGCTTCGCATCCTGTCACGCACCCACCCGACAATCATCACCACCACCTCGCCCTGCGCCATGGCCGACGTGTCCAACTCCACCGCGTCGCCAGCCTTGCGCAGTGGCGACACGGCGCGCGCCATGTCCAACGCATCGCGCTTGACCAATTCCTGCTCAATCAAATCACGATCCCCACCGGCCTCGCGCACACGACGCTCAGCACGCACACGTGCCGCCGCCGTCAGGAACACTTTAAGTTGCGCATGCGGGAACACCGTAGAGCCGATATCGCGACCGTCCATGACGACGCCAGCATATCCGCCAGGTACGGGCAACGTCCCGTCAATTCCGCCACCGAGCGCTCGCTTCTTGGCGAGGAGGGCGGTACGGACGTCGGGGATTGCGGCGATAAACGAAACATGCTCGTTGACGGCAGGCGTGCGGATTGCAGCGGTCACGTCCTCGCCGTCCATGTACACGCGCGGGCGTACGGGTGCCGCGTCCAAGGTACCAGTCAGCGGCGGGAGCGCGGTCAGTCGCAGGTCCGTGGCGGCCGTAAAGTCGTGCCAGTCGGTTGGGTCGGTGCCGCGGCGCAGGTGCTTGAGCGTGATCTGGAGCGGACACGAGCGGTCAGTACCCGCCGCTACGAATTTCTCGTGTCGTGATTGCAGTGTTGAAAAAAAACATACGCAGCGGAAAAGCGCGCCTGAATCGAGGTAAGCAAACCCAAGCGTGCGCGCAACGGCAGCAGCACACGAACTTTTTCCGCTCGCGGCGGGGCCGTCGATCGCGCATTGGAACACGGATTGGCGTGCAGGGGTCGCCGTCACGGGCGGTCTGCTCGTCGCGCTTGCGCTCAATGTTCGGAAATTGCTTGAGCTGAGCTGGTAAGGTGCGATTCGGACATGGCTATGCCGCATGGCTGTACTGAGCAGAGCATTTGCAATCCCGCTTGTCGAAACCATTGGATGCCAGCAGACGAACATGCTTGGCCACAGGGGAAACAATCTTTCTGGGTCCCAGAAACAGAATGCAGCAGGTGAAGCGTGCTTCGACAGAGCGATATGTATGCAGTTTGAGAGTGATCAACAGCTGCTGTGAGCGTCACACTTCCTGATTGCTGATCGCAACGACAGGCGATCCAAGAGCCGTTTGACGTGGCAATGGGACAGATCCACATCAGAGCCCAAAAGCATCATTTGGCCCGGCAAATCAGCTCAAATACAATGAAATGGATATTTCCTTCGTGCCAGGATTGTAGAGACGGGGTTTATTCGCATGCTCCTTTTGCTGCGCCGCAGTGCGACAAGATTGCCACCAGGAGACACAATTATGCGAAACAAGCCTTGCATCAGGCCATCCAAGGGACCATGGTGGTGGTGGCTCACTAAAAATGGTCTGTCCCCCCCTTTGCCCACTGGAACCTGAACCCAACACTCCTCAGAAATGCATGGAGCGCCATGAAAGGGGACGCTCAAGGCGCCCCTGAACACATGGTCCAGTATGCTACATCTTTCCCCTCCACCTGTCCAACCTAGCAAACTTGACAGACCTGTGCCTTGGAGAAATTCCACAACATGCTGGTGGGCCATGAGCCATGCATGGCAAATGGCTGGAGAATGGCGCAACTCGTGCACAGCACAACAGTCGCATTGTGGCTTGCAATGGTGACAATGCAGTGGACCATGATGGCAGTGGGTTGCAGCTTCTTGGGCCAGCAGCCACTCATCACCACCTCTGGCAGCTGGAGCCGTGGGGGCTGCAGTTGTTCCAGCTCCAGTGGCATAATGATGATGAACACTGTGATTGTGACTTGGCTTGTGAGGACAGGGCGGCCGCCTAGGCAGCAAGACTGGGGAATTGGCAACAAGCGCCTGTACATGAGGTCAGTGCAGCTCCTTCTGAATTGTGGCCAAGCAGAGGTCAAACACAAGCGCAAGAACACGTCACAGGCGAGGGGGCCACAGCGCCTCCCCATCCGACTGGAACGCGTCTGCAGCAGGTGGGAACAACTCTCTCCACTGGACGAGGTCATTGCATGTGATTGCTGTAGATGCGAGGTGGCAGAAGTGGACTGGGCCCAAGTCGTGTGGCATTAGCCACTGTGCAAACTGATCAGGGTGGTTGCCAAAACCATCCCACATCCCCATGGGAAACACAGACTGAATTGCAGTCACAACACTGACTCAGAGCTGCAAGATGACACGCGTCCAGTCGCCTGCACTGTGTGGGCAAGCAAGGTAGTGATCCTTCATGTTGTCAGAGCTGCACAGGCACTTGGGTCCCCCCCTCCCCCCCTGTACTGCATGGCTGGCATGCCCACTAGCACAACCCGTGTCACAAGCTGGCCAAACAGTGACCAGAGCCAGAACAACATGGCCAAGTTCTGATTGCATGATGTGACAAGCACAAGTGTGTGTGATCCACCATGGACTGCAAGCCCTGTCGCCTCCCAATTAATTCCTGCTGCAAATGACATGCCCTTGAGTGCAATTGATACGACTGTGGCATGCCATTCAGTATCAGCAATCACAAGACAAGCTGGTGTGGGTACAACCATGCTGGGGCCCCCATAACTGCTGGTGTAGACTTCAAATCCCACCACGCACTCCTGATGGCTGCTTCTGAGATTGTGGCAAACTGGCCAGCATCACAACACGCCCCCTGCTTGGTGAGCTGGTCAGCAGCCTTGTTCCCAATATCACCTGAATGGCCCTTGACCCAGGTGAACTTGAAGTCAACACCATGCACCAACTTGGCAAGTCAGAGTGCAGACCATAGATCCATGTTCATTGCACAAACCATGTGACACACTGTAAAACCTGGTGATCCATGCATATGCACTGTTGCCCCATCAATTGCTGCACACGAATTGAGCTGCCCATCAAGTTGCATATTTAATGGGATGTGGTTGGCTGCAACAAGGAGTGCAAACAACCTGGCGCGTGTCAAGGGCAGGGGACCTGGCAGCAGGTGCACATCAATGGCACACTTGTCAGGGCCCAGGAAATACACACCTGCACCAGCACAGCTGGCTGCCATGTCAAGAGAACCGTCAGTGTACACTTGTAGTGCATGCACACCACAACCACAGTGGACAGTCTAGTCCCACTGGTATGCACCCCTGTCAGCAGCTGCCACCAGTGCACCTGGCTGCTTGTCAATCACTGCACCAGCCCTGTGCACTGTCTCCACCTGGTGGAGAGGGAGCGTACAGTCATCATAACCACCATCACACCACTCCATGACCACATTGAACACACAGCAGTTGTCTTGACCCATGTGGGCCACACCACTGCAGTCATGGTCAGTCTTTCAGTGCTGCACAATTGCCTACCACATCTGCACAGCCCCCAACTGCATTGTGACATTGTACAAAAGCACATGGTCATGCCACAGGTCTCACAGGACTGCATCTTCAAACAGGTACAAACTGCTCTCCAAGGTTGTAACCTGCCAGACACCATGCCTGCTGCACTGTGGCTGAATGAAATTGGGAAGCACAAGTGACATTGGGATGTGCACGTCCACCTGCACATGTGAAAACTTGTTGTGCACATCAAGAAGTGACAGCCCATGGCCCACCATCATTGGAACAAGCTGCTCAAACCATGCACATGGCCTGTTCTGATTGGTGTTGATGTACAGCTTGGTGATGTCCTAGCCTGGAGCAACCCAATCTCAGCTCTCCCCCTCTGAGAGACCAGGAACAGCTCTAGGTCTGACAATTTGTGGCAGGGGTGGCTGGAGGCCCACACATGTGTTTTAACCTGCACCATCACCAGGTTCCCTTGGATCGCCATCCGAAACCTAGAATGCAGGCCACAGTCAACCTTGGAAGTCACTCCCAAGAACGCCAGCAGTGGGGATCGAACCCACAACCCCGCACACAAATGGGGCGAATGTTAACCACTTGGTCATTTTGGCCAACATGCGCCAGTAGTGTAGTGGTTAACATTCTTCCCTTCCAAGGAAGCGGCCCGGGTTCGAACCCCGGCTGGCGCAATCCTTCTTTTATATCTGATGTTGTGCCATTGTGAGAATCGATTTCGGATGGCACTTTTAGAGTTTTGTGTGTTCTTTTGTTTCAACGTCCTCCAAGGTAGTTTCCAACTGAACGGCCCGCTCATGTCATCCCGGCACGATCCTCCCATTATCTAAGCATTGCGACACGCGGCAGGCCGTGTCGTGGGTGGTATTCTCGTCAGCCAGCACTGCTGGCTAGGGGCCCAGGATGGGTTGGTGGAGATCGATTGAGCATGGGCCTCTCTTAACAAAACAAGGTGCGGCAGGCATGGCAAGTGAGAGAAAATGAACTGAATGCATTCAATCAAAACGAGCGAGCACGGATATGCACAACACAAGACATGATCGTGAGACCGAGGTCCAAAAGGCAAATCCAGAAACGACAGGCGCTTCTGCAAAAAGGAACATATCTCATCCAAAAGGTGGGCCTCGCCGACCAACGGCGTGCAGACAACATAAATACTAACTCATCCACCTTCTCCACCCCCTCCTCACAACGTACGCACGCCACCTGCATGTGCCGGCGACTGCACGCGATCCTCATCCACATTCGATCGCGGCACCGTAACACTCACCCCGCGCCCACTACGCCCGCGATTCCGCCGGAACCACCGCTTGATCACCGTCCACCACTTCTTGCGCTTCGATTTCTTGCGGCGCAGCGTCGGCGAACTCGCGACCGCCGAGACCGACACGGCGACCGCCGCATTCCGCGCCTCGTCGTACGGCACGGGCGTCGCGCCGCCATGAACGTGAACTATCGTCGTCGACGGCGCGACGAGCGGCGAATGCGGCGCGTGCATGTTCGGGGACGACGGGGGCGGAGGGGACGAGGGCGGTGGCGGGACGTGCAGTGCCGGCTGGCCGAGCGAGACGACAGACGGCGACCGCGGCATCGACGCGCCGGACAACTCGGCGGCACGGGCGACGGGACTCGTGCGTGTCGCGGTCGCGCCGGGACGCGACGGTGGGGAACGGCGCACGGCCGCGGCGCCCGCGGCGTCGAGGAGCCACGGCTTGCTGGGCGTGGGCGACGCGGGCGAGGTCGCGACTGCCGCATCGGCGGCCGGGAGCGTTGGGGACGTGGAAAGATGCCGCTGCCGGGACAGCGGGTGCCGGTTTTCGGCGACGTCATTGCGGCCGCGGTGCCAGCACTCACAGTGGGAGTGTGTGTGATATATGTATATGTATCA